CATATTGGAATCACCTAGAGATCTTCAAGTCCTGTGGATGCCTGGCCTCCAACCCCAGGCATTCTAATATGATTGGTCTGGAGAGCAACTTGAATATTCAGATTGAGAAGACCTCTCCGTGTGACTCTAATGTGCAGCAGAGTTTGGGAACGACTGGCAGAGATGGAGAACTTACTATCAAATGGCATGCCCACCTGCTGTCCTCTGCACACTTTAAAATCAGGGGATGGTACACCCTGCAAGTCATGGTGCATCCATCTGAACATTCATCTGTTGGACAAGCAGGAAGGCTACACCTGTACGTGACAGGTAAAGCTGGTCTTTACCAGCTCTGTCTGAGAAGGCAATGTGGGCACAGCCAATTCAAATGCAGAGGGGTGTTTTCATGTTGGCTTTCAGCATCTTAAGTTGTGCACAGATATTTTAAGATCCGTTGCAGGCATGCGCCTCTTCTTCCCACCTGATCCTTACCACTGAGCTCTCTCCGGCGGGCGGCGGGATGGGGGGATGGGGAGTTCACATCCTCAAAGACAGAACAGGTGACAAACAGTTGGCTGGAGACAGGTTGTCTTTCCAGCCCCCATTCCCAAAGCAATGTTGAAGGGGTTATTCATGCAAAAGCTATTGAATCCTGATGTGTCTCCATACCTGCGACTTGTCTATAGGCAGAGTAGGAAGATGGAGTACAATTTCAGGACAAAGAAAAGCTCTCTTTTCCTATTCCAGCAGGCTCCAAATTATCTCCCCTCCCAACATCTACTAGTAAAAATCTCACCTCTTTGTCACCCAGGCCTAAAATAAGAACATCACAGATTTATATAAGTTAAAGCCTCACAACCCTGTTTTTAAAAAGTGGATGTTAGGTAGCAAGGCCAGATTTCAAAAGTAAAAATACAGGACTCCCAGTTAAATTTGAAATTCAGATGAACAGTGAATAATTTTCTTTTCTTTATTGTTCACCTGAAATTGAAACGCAACTGGGAGTTCTGTATTTTATCTGGCAACACTAAAGTAAAGAAAAGGTTAAGAGCTATTTGCATGCTGGTGTGAATTAATTCAGCTAGTTTGCTCTTTGCTTAGCTGATAATAGTGTTCAACGGAATAAAGCTTCTAATGGGGGAAAGGGGGTAACAATTTTTACTTTGGGATGCCTTCTGGAAGGATTCTAAGGCCACCATAGCAATAAACAGGGAAAAGGATGTGCTAACTAATTAACCATGTTTGCTATGGGTCCGGGATGGCAAGTGAAGGCATGTAAGCCATACATGGACAGTGATAGGTCAGCATCCAAATGACATGTAATAAATGGTGTCACTGGGATATTGAACTTGGGGTTATTTTATAATAAGAAGAAATGGACAAGCAGCATTTGCCAATGAAGCTGTACAAGAAATGGAAAATCGGCTGAGTGTTAAAAAATAAGAAACTATTCAATACATATAAACTATGCTTTTTCCTTCTTGGACTCGTTTCTTGCTCTTCCCCTAAAGCAGCTCTTCTTATGCCAGGCACTTGATAGGTGCTTGACACATAAGCACTGACTCAACACTTTGAATTAGAAGTCACAGAGGAAAACTAATGGAAAGATTCTGAGCACCGCTACACTTTCTTCCATCAGGCATTTAATGAGTCATCTAAGGTCATGCGATGGCAAAACCGTTGGGTCTATAGAAAAAGTCTTTTAAGGCATTCACGTCATTGAGTTTTCCTGCTCTTCCAGAGATCTGGAGTCCACAAATCCTCACCCACACACCTCCATTCTCCTGCATCACTGAGAACCAAGGCTCCTTCCGGACTACAGGCATTGAACCAAAACGGAAGTAGAGAGCCACCCTTGAATGGAAATGCCCACCTTTGAGTACATTTAGATGGCAGACGGAACCCATTCATCAAACTATGAAAATTCCCTCCACTCTCCAGGAAGAATGGCCATGAAATGCTTGTAAATACATGTCTTCAGGTTTAAACAAATTGCATCATTATTTTTATTTTTTTGAGGGGAGTCCACGTGAAGGGAACTTGAGGCATGCTTGGGTGTTTGTCCTGCAGACAATGCATGCCTGTGTCTTGTGCTGTTTCCGTATCTTCTGCCCAAGCCAACTGGCCAGCCTCATGGCCTCTCGACAGGAGAAGGGTGCCAATTCCTAACATTCTATTTTCATACTGTTTGATGATAAAAATCACCCCAGCAGGATGAATGGCAATGAACAAAAACAGGAAGCAGCCCCCTGATTAGATAGGGACAGGGTGGCTTGTAGGGTAATAAACAAAATGACTAAGAAGATAAATGAGAGAACCATGATGCTGCCATCTCCTTCCTGAACAGGCCAAGAATAAATGGAAAGAAGAAATCAGGGAAGAAGTCATGGGCTTTAAGCGGGGGTGAAGGAGGCTTGCTCTCCGACATCACTTAGCAGGAGCCTTCCTTGAGTTGCCTCTTGAGTGGAGGCTGTTAGGACAACCGTCTGGTTTTCAGTGACTTCCTTGGAAAATCTTGCCTAAGTGATTTAGTACCTTGCTTTGATATTTGGGAATCCTTTGAAATCTGGGATCTTAGCGCCTTAGCCAAACCAAGGGTCCACTTTGTCATGCTGCTGCTCTTGGAGAGTGGTTCTCCATTGGGGAGGGAGATGGTAATTTTGCTCTCTAGGGGACATTTGACAATGTCTAGTTAGTTGTCACAACTGATGGATGGTGCTGTTGGCATCTAGTGGGTAGAGGCCAGAGATGCTGCTAAATATCCTATAATGACCAGGATAGCCCCTAGCAACAAAGAATTATGCATAATAATTATGCATAATAATTATGCATAATAACTTGAGAAACCCTGATCTAAGGTAAGTTAAGATTTTTAAAAAATGGGTATAAGTCAAAGATCAGATGGATGTAGATGTGTGGTGTTATTTCTGAAGCTCTGTTCTGTTCTATTTGGCCTCTATATCTTTTTTTCTTTTTTACATTAAGATAGTCACATAAATGGTCTATATATCTTAACCACCATGGCATGTGTATACCTATGTAACAAACCTGCATTTTCTGCACATGTACTCCAGAACTTAAAGTATAATAAAAAAAAAAAGATGTAAGTATGGGTATGGGCATAGGGTGAGTATGAATGAGGACACAGATATAAACACAGACATATATTGAACTCATTCTACAATGAAATAAGAAAAAGAAAGACAGCTTCATTTCTGATGGCAAAATCTTCACCGGGACAAATTACCAGGAAAATGAGCCTTAGACATTCCCCTATAAAAACCCAGCCTCTCCAAGCCTGGTCTAAGCATAAGCCTCACCTGGTCATCCCAACCAGGGCCGCATCATGAGAGCACATGTCCAAATTCCACCTGTAACATTTACTTCCTGTGTGATCTTTGGCAAGTTTCTTATTCTCTCTAAGTCTTAGCTCCATATTTATGAAGTTGACTTAATAACTTCCACTTCTTATATATAGCTGTGATGATAATGAATAGGATTGCATGAATAATGGCCAAAACATTTTCTGTCCCCTAGTCAAACAGGAGACCTTCAGTGAATTGCATCTGTTATGATCATATAATCATTAACATCCTTGGATTTTAATGTACATTCGAGTATATCTCCCTAGTACCCAAAAGGCTCTTTGCAATTGGAAAATATGATTTAGGGTACCAGGATGCTGAGACAGGTGCCAGGATGCTCTGTCTCAATTTCAGCTGATGCCCCAAGGAATTCAGAACCAAGAGATGCGTTCATCAAGTAGTTTCCTTGAAGTCTCATCATCGGGAGGGATTGTGACAAGCTGAGATGCAGCTAGAAATGCATAGCCACTTTGGATAGAGGCCTGCACATCCAGCAGTCAGGGAATTACTAGAATGGGACTCTCTCCATGGCACAGATGTGGGACAAGTGGCCACGCAGGAGAGTCAGCCTGGAGCCTTCAGGTACCCTCTTGGGCAAAGTGTTGGAAATCCAATTTCCACTTTCAAGACGCAACCACCAGCTGCCTTCAGTCTGAGTCCTTGTCCCTTGCACAGCCCCCGGGTCTGCGCTACCCTTCCCAGAACCATACTACGGGTGGGTGTGGGTGTGAGTGTGAGTGTGTACCTGTGTGTGTAGGGAAGGGAGCTACAGAGAAAGCAAATCTTCCTGTGGCCTGGCAAGATCAGCTTTGTGCTGATTTCCTTCTTTTTTTTTTTTTTGACAGGGTCTAGCTCTGTCACCCAGACTGGAGTGCAGTTTTGAAAGTCCCACCCAGGTAGTAGAAGCTTTAGCACCTTCCATTGGAACATGGGAATATTTAGACTGATTGCTTTCAACCCTCAGCCAAAATCACATCAGAAAGTCCCCTTTGAGTACTTGTACTAGGATGAGTTAGGAATAGAACTCATATCCTTGTAGGAATACCATTTATTTTAATAACACTTAGAGTTTTAAGTGACCCATCAAATGACAACATATAAATGCAGGGCAGGCCTGACATCCGCCACCTGTGCCCCCCTGCCATTATTGCAGTGAAAGCTCAGAGTGCTGCATAGACCTCAACATTGCAGGAGCCTCAGAAGATACTGTTTTCCTGAGTACTGTGTTTACTGTAAGAAAAATGATGATAAACCTCTGTGATATGTTCTACAGATTAATTCAGGGGCTTTAGGATGAAGAAAGAATTTACCTTTGACTAGTCTTAGTGCTGGACAGGGTCCTTGGCCCATAATTAGCCCTTTTATTGTACACATTTATTGAGTTGAATGAGCACCCATGCTGTAGCCAGTTGAACCAGAGATGTGTGTCCTCTCTGTTTAACCAAAAAATGTGGGTCACACTAGCCCAGTGTCTTAACCTAATTATCTGGAGTAAAACAGGGATTAACTGGCTGCCAGAATTCCTGGATGAATCACTGCCCACAGCCCCCATTGAGAAGGCAGCAGGTCATGTGGTCTGGCCCCAGGCTGGTCCAGGGGAGGAAACCCGACCCATAGGAGACCATCTGCCTACTGGCCAGTCACTAGTGTGTCATACAGGGCACTGTTCACTGGGACATGACTCAGACCATAAATTCTTTTCTCAGAATTTAGAATTAGGAAACGGAGCTGCCTGTTGGTGAGGGTCACCAGTAGCAACACATCAAGGTACAGGGAGTAACAAGACCATGGCCATAGCCGCTGTGAGGAATGACATACTAGGTGAGAAAAGGAGGATGTAGCAGACTTTAAATGGGAGAAGAAGTGAGAAAGGCCACGGGGCCCCAGATAGGGGCAGAAATAGTAGCCTTTACTCCTTACTTCTCAATTCCAGCTCTCTCGAAATGTCCTTCCTCTTCCTGCCTTTGGTCTCTGGGATTTATCCTATTAATAATAACCCTATTAATAATAATAATAGTTATTATTGACATTATTCTGTCTTATTAAGAATAATCTTACAAAGAAAATTCTTTTAACTTTAACCTGTGTAAGTAGACATATATTCCTCAAACCCCAAAGAGCCTTGATTAAAGTAGTGACTCATGTGAGCACCTCTGGAAATAAAAATCATTCAACATTTAGCAAAGAAGATTGAGATCATAAAAGCTGGCTGAGATTCACACTGGGCATCCTTAAGGTGAGCAAACTGGTGGATTAACCTGCTAAGTTGCATTTTTATGAAGAAAAAAGATTACTCCATTTGATAAGATTTGAGAGACATTGTAAATAAAAGGAGTTCCAGGTATGCTGTTGAGGGATGGTGGTATCTTTAGCCTGTGACACATTCATGTTCTTTCCCAGGGGAGCACACTCCTATGAGATGGTTAGGCTTCAGGTGTAAGGAATATTGATTCATTTCATTTCCCCACGGAAATTCTATAAAACTCACTGACTTCTCAGGGCCCACACAAGAGACCAAATAACTATTTCTATCCTTCCATATACATTCCTGAATGGCCACTACACAAAAGTCAAACGGGAAAAGAATATTTGTTGTCGAGGAAATGATACCAGCAGGGAATGAGAAATAGCGCTGAAGATGGAGAGAGCCAGGGAGAAAGACAGCAAGACAGGGAGAGAGAGTAACTTTCCGGTCCATCTTTGAACTTCATAATTAGATAAGCCAATACATTATTTTGCTTTTTTTTTTTTCTTTATTTGGGTTTCTGCCACTTGCAACCACAACAATCATGGTTCATAGGGTGCAGGTAATGAAAGAACCCAGTGACACATTGTAAACTATGTTCTTACTAAGATTACAATATCAGTCTCCAAATGACACCAATCCCACTGCCACCGGCCCTGTCACATTGTGATTCACCATAAAATAAGAAAGTGTGCAAGATACTTTTTTTATTTTTTTGAGACAGAGTCTCACTCTGTCACCCAGGCTGGAGTACAGTGGCTCCGTATCGGCTCACTGCAACCCCTGCCTCCCAGTTTCAAGCAATGCTCCTGCCTCAGCCTCCCAAGTAGCTGGGATTACAGACACGTGCCACCACACCCAGATAATTTTTGTATTTTTAGTAGAGATGGGCTTTCACCATGTTATCCAGGCTGGTCTCAAACTCCTGACCTCAGGTGACCTGCCACCTCAGCCTCCCAAAGTGCTGGGGCTACAGGCATGAGCCACCATACCCAGTGTAAGATACTTTAATGGACCTTTCTTAAAGGGAGTTAAGTGAAAAAATTGACCCATGATTACAATAATTACTAAAACAAGGAGTTAAAGAAAATTAATCTTACGCTGAAAACTATAAAACATTGATAAAAATTAAAGCAGGCACATAAAAATGGAAAGATAAACTATGTTCATAGATTGGAAGAATTGATATTGTTAAAAGTTCTTATTACCCAAAGCAATTAACAGACTCGATGCAACCTCTCCCAAAATTCCAAAGACATTTTTTACAGAAATAGGAAAGCAACCCTAAAATTCATATAGAACCACCAAAGCAATCTTGAGAAGAAGAAAAAAAAATGCTGAAAGCATCATATTACTTGACGTCAAAATATAATACAAAGTTATAATAATCAAAAGAGTATGGTACTGACATAAAAACAGACACCATAGAACAGAACATAGAGCTCAGAAATAAACCCATGCATATGCAGCAAGTTTTCAACAAGGAAACCAAGAATATGCAATGGAGAAAGAATAGTTTCTTCAATAAACATTGTTGGGGAAACTGGATACTCACATGCAGAAGAAGTAAATTGGACTCTTAGCCCATACACAAAAATCAGCCCAAAATGGATTAAAGACTTAATGTAAAGCCTAAAACTGAAAAACTCCTAGATAGAAAAACATAGGGAAAGAGCTCCTTAATATTTCCCTTCTCCTGGCACTTACATTTTTGGATATTACACCAAAGCACAGGCAAAAAAGCAAAAATAGACAACTAAGCCTCTATCAAACTAAAATGCTTCTGCACACACAAAAAAATAAAACCAATAAAATGAAAAGCCAACACAAGGAATGAATGGAAGAAAATATTTGCAAACCATATATGTAATAAGGGATTGATGTGTAAAATATACAAAAGCTCATATGACTCAATAGCAAAAAAAACCACACACACACACACACACACACACACACACACACACACACACACAAATGACATAAGTTTTTAAATGAGCAGAGGAGCTGAATAGATTTGTCCAAAGAAGACATAAAAATGGCAAGAGCTGTATGAAAAGATGTTCAACCTCACTAATTAGTCAAGGAAATGCAAATCAGAGTCACAGTGAGATATCACCTCACCCCTGACAGGATGGCCAATATAAGAAAAGAAAGAGAAAGAAGAAAGAAAGAGAAAGAAAGA